AAAGAAGAGATAAACGCAGAATCAAAGGCAAGCTGCGGAGGGGGGGGGGGAGGGAAAGGTGGAAAATTAGGCCACCACCCCCATTAAAGTTGCTGAGGTTGTCAGCTAGGGGCAGATTTTTTGCAGAAGGTCCATTCTAGAGCAGGGGGCCTGTTCAGGAGTCCATGTTTTCCATTCCGCTCATCAAATGGGAAAAAAAACAATCCCTCTAAATAAAATAAAAACTTTTTAAAGATGCTTTGGTGCAAGCAAGCGTTTTTTTTTTTGTTTTTTTTTAACATCTTGAGTGGGATCCAGACAAGTGAGCTGAAAATAGGACTCCCTGGACCCTGGATTCGCCCTGCTCTTGATTGTCTGCGATGCTTGAGGCTGAAAGGCCAGACCGACCCACCTGATGCCAGGTGAACAATTCCTAGCTCCCGGGGCACGAAGGGAAAGGCAAGCACGCACGGTTCCATCCGTGAGATCTGGAGCTGCCCTCCCACCAGCTATCAGGAGAGACGGCAATTTCAATCCCTGATGTAACAGGACACAGGTCCAAGAGACACCTAATGCAGAGGTGGGGAAACATCTGGATTTGGGGAAACGTGTGGTGAGCAGGCTCATAAAGTGTCTCCCCAGGAGGCCTGTCTATTCCCAAAATTATGAGCTGGAACTGCTGCAAAATATCGATTTACCAGAAGGTGTGTCAGATTCCCAGGGGGGTCTCTACCACCCAGGGGGACCTTCTCAGGCTCCCAAATCACACTGCTCCAAGGGGGCACCGTGATGCCTCCTCCGAACCTCCCCCAGCCACCAATAAATTCCTGCTGGAAGCGGGTTCCGCCCCGACCCTGCCTCAGCCAGGGAGGTCATGCGGGTGCTCAAAATGCGAAGGGAAAAGAAGAGGCAGGGGGAGGAAAGGGGGGTGGATTAAAGGGGGAGGATGCCACTGCAAAGAGGGGCACAGAAAACAGCACGAGTCGGGGAGGGGGATGCAGCGGCCCAAACACACAGCACAGCCCGGTGGAAAAAGCAGATTCGAATACCTGATTGGGTTTAGGAGGAGGTCTCAGCCCACCAGCACCAGAGCAGAGCTACTATGACAACCAGTCCTATGAGAGGGAGTGAAATTGTGGGAGAGCCGGGGGCGGGGGAGACCTGGTGGGGAGGTGGGAGCATGAAATGCCATTCAGACATGAAGCCACAAAGACCACAGAGGCAAGATGAGCCGGGAAGGAGGGTAAGGAGAGAAAAAGAGAAAGATTAGAGCTGGTCTGGTTCCAAGGATCAGGGGCTTATAGCCTGGGGCACGTCTGCACAGCCACGTCTGGTCGGTTTCAATCCTGCTTATATACTGCAGGGCTCAGCAGAGAACAGGGGGTAGGGGGCTAATTTGACAACTGGGTTTGCAAAATTCGCTCGGGAAAGTTGGCAAGGACTTGGGATCAACAGACAGGTCCTTTCAAAAGGGCCATGTACATGCCTCAAGAAAAGCTTCAGGAGCAATTGTAGAGTTCTGGTACCCCAAGTGGGACCTTAGATATGGGCACTGTCCTCCAAAATTGCTCAAATAGGATTGTTGCTCTGTATCTCCATGGGAAGACACACCACTGACTTTTGAACACTTTTTCAGAAGTTGTAAGACACTCTGTGTCTTAAGGTCACTGGCCTGCCAAACACTTCGGGGAACTTGAAGTCCACTGCTTAACACACCTAAACTGCTTCTGAATACGGAAACTCCACAGAACCAGCCTAACTAATAGCTAGTGGTAAGATTCCTTGTTTGTTAGCCTATTCAAGAAGTTAATAATGCACTTAATCGTAGAATTGTGGAGTCATAGAATCCTGGGGTTGGAGGAGACCTGGGAGGTCTCCTAGTCCACCACCCTGACCAGACCAGGATTCCTCAGACCATCCCAGCCTCTGCATGAAAACCTCCATGACTCCAGGAAACAGGCTGTTCCACTGCTTCGTGGCTCTCATGGTCAGAACATTCCTCCTGATTTTGAGCTTGGATCTTCCTTGTCGAGCTGCCACCCACTGGTTCTTCTCTTACTTTTGGGTGCTCTGAGAATAACGCCCCACCCTCTGCCCTGGGGCAGCTCCTATCACGTCTCCCCTCGGTCTTGTCTTCTTTAGGCTAAACCAGCATTTCTCAACCTTGCTGGCTTTAAGATGTGTGGACTTCAACTCCCATGCTGGCTGGGGAATTCTGGGAGTTGAAGTCCAC